GTGGTTTTTGTAAGTTGTTGTTTTTACTTTACATTGGTTCTTGGTCAGGCTAAATTAATAAATTGGCTTGTAAAATTGATCTGTCTCCTTTACCAGGATGTACTCAAACATTTTAAAAGTGAAGTTAAGATTAAGTCTTACTGAATTCACCATTTGGCAGTGTCGTTGATGTCTCAGTCACAATATCCTATAGAAGATACTCTGTAGGCTGCCATGTGGATGAATTTCAATATGTTCTTAAATTTTTGCTTACATCACATTGCCATCTATTCAACTTTGTGGAAGTTGGGAGAAAAACAGTTGTAAGTAAGTTGATGTATGCTCTGCATTCAGAACTTTGAGTCTCATGATTATTGATAACATAAGAGAAACTCAACAAGAAAAGGCTTTGAGTATTTCAGAAGGAAGTAGCTGTTTGAAATTCCTTTTAATTCTAAAAATGTAAAATTTAAGTGAGTATTTGATTCTCTAAGAACACACTAAGCTGTTCAGCCACATTGAATAAAATAGTCATTAACTGTTCTTACAAGCTTCTACATCAAAGTAGAAATATCTTGTACATATTGTCAGAACTTTTGAATTAGATTTTTGTTCCATCTAGAGACTTTGGAAAGAACTTATAAATTCATTTTTGGTATAGACACAGACATGGTATGGCACTATGACATGCCTATAGAAATTAATGCTTAAAAACACTTGAAACATTTTTTAAAACTTAGAAATTAAGTAATCCGTCTGTTACTATATTATATTCAAAAGTAATTTTCAGGGCTGCTTATTTGTTATTTGCTTGGTTTCTTTATACATGTACTTGAAACTTGTTTACATTCAATCTTTTATTTATTGCTATGATTATACCAGTTTTCAGCAGAATTGTTCTTGAACATTTTATAATTAATTTAACTGAACAGAAGAATAAAGTATGTAGAATAACAGGTGTATATGTAACAACATACAAGTGCACAAAGTATACAGGGTAGTATTAGTAAAATTCATCTCATGCATTATGTAATTTAATTCTGAGCGATAAATAATCAATTTTTATCACAAAATATTTGTTTTGGTGTGATTTTTCCTGTATTTCATTGTTCTGTTTGATGAAGTTATTTATGATTAAGTTTAGTTTAGTTTTAAAGGATAGTAGGTTTTAATTTGACTCTCTTTTTTTGTTGACCAAAGGAGATATTTCCAATCTTTTTGCTTTGTCCAAGTGTGGTGGGGTTTCACCCAGTTTTCATTTTGTCAAAGTTACTGTTTCTTTGATGAAAGGGCTGAGAATATCCCAGTGGTTAGCATGTTGCACTGTGAATCTGGGTTATTATGGTTTTGTCTTGTTCTTGCCAAAAAAGAAAAAATTGCTCTGCTTTGTGGGACCATTGTTGGGTTATAAGTAGAGCAGGGTAATTGGCTTGATTAATCAATATAATCAACTATCTATGTATAAGATTTCCTCAGTTATATGTCACATAAAATAATCAATCAAAATTACATTAAATCAATTGATGTAAAGAAAATAATCAACTAGTATTTCCAGTTATTATTATTTTAAATCATTCCAGCTATCCAGTATTCAGAATCACAATTAAATCAATTAATATTGCAAGAATAAGCAACTAATCAAAATTAGTGTTTGTGGTTGTTAATTTTTGATTATTTCAAAGTATTCAAGTAATCAAAATTTTGTCATTATTTGTTGTTAAATACTTAATAAGCTTTATGAAAAATAAACATGCTATAAGAAAGAGAAAATGCACAGCTGGTAAAAGGACAGCATGAAATAAAAAAATAATAAAGTAACTTCTTGATTTGAAAGAATTCATCAAAAACATTCCAAACTTTGACAGTTGTGTACAGTGCAGTATTAATTTGTTTAATACAAAAAAATATTGAAAAAGTTGTATCCACCTACCTTCATTTTTCCAGGCAATGTTACCAAACACGTAGAATGTTTTCTTTGGCATAATGTGCAATGAAAATTAACATTAGTAAAGACAGAGGATTGAAGATTTAGAATTGGCATTTTGCTGATTCAAAATATTGTTGGTTCACTTCCTACTAGAGTATTGGTGCATACCAAATAATGACTAGTTATATATCCATGATAATCTTTTTCTCCTCTAATTTAACAAGTGAAAGTTGCATGTGCTGTTAAATTTACTGTCACTTTATGCAGTGAACACACACACACAATATTTACAACCCCAAGATTCCACACTTCAATGTTCCCAAATGTTCTGTCACCTTTGTGTTACCCTTCACTGGTTCTCTTGGCATCAAACTAATAAGAAAAATCAAAAACATTCTGCAATCGACTTATCCACAAGTTAGCCTCAAAGTCATCTTCAAATCGAACAAATGAATAAGCAACTTTTTCCTGTTTAAAGACAAAATACCTCTTTTAAAAAATCATTTATGGTGTATCAGCACAAGTGACCATGCTGCAGTCATGTCTATATTGGGTCAATGACCCGAACCCTAGCTACCAGAATTAAGGAGTATGCACGTAACAGCCCTTCCAACAACTCTGGAACTTATAACCATCTAAGCAAAGTCTGTTGTGAGAAACCTAACATTGAACAGTTCAAAATAATAGACTTAGCGAAAGATGAATGGACACTAGGGAAAAAATGAAACATTCTTTATTTGTAACTTAAAATGAAAGCTGAATGACTAACTAGCAATGCCATTACATCCCAAATTGTGTTAAACTTATCATGTTTACATCAAAATTATTGAACAAACAAATGTCAACATCTACATCAAATGTCTAAACTTAATTGTTAAATTCTGTTCGTCACTATATACTTGTGTTCATTTGAAATTGTAAACTTAATCCCAAGAACCAAGTTTACATAACTTGTTATATTTAGTATTTTTCTGATTTATGATCAATGTCATGAACTACAAATCAAAAAAGAAATCCATAAATAAATTACCAGCCAGTCTGATGAATAATAACAATTTAGGTTGTGAACAAAGGACTATTCATCAAAAATTACAAATCATTTGAAAAACATAGAGCTTTTCTGAGGGTACTTAAAGGCATTTTGAAACAACTTTTTATATTAAATTAATAAATTTTTCACGCTAAATAGTGTAATGCACGAAGAAACAAAAAAAATGTTCAAATTTCAATTCTTCACAGTTCTGAGGAGTTTCACCTGTAAATAACAAGTTTATCAATCTTTTTTAATTTTTCTGTCTATTTCAAAGAAGAACTTTATTTTTCTTAGAATAGATTTTCCCTTTCTTTATTTTCTAGCACTTCCCTTGTCTTTTTCTTTCCACATTTTTATGGTATCACATTAAATGGTTTGATCATTTACTAATGAAACAGCTGTTGTAGTTTAAATAAAATGGGATAGAGCAAAAATTATAACTTTTCATGTCATAGTAAAGTAAATTTGGTGGTTTGAGCTGTAGTGTGTGGTTTTGTGAGATAGTTTTTTGTTGGAGTGAACATATTTGTGAAATTTTGTTAGATAAAAAGACGTAAACTTTAGCTAGATTCAGTGAGTGTGGTTGGTGGGTGCAAAATAGTCTAATAACATAAATTATTATTTATTGAATATTAATTTAATGTTTCTGATATTCAAACAATAACAGAAATTGGCTAACTAGCTACTTAATTCTAATTTCAATTGTGATGT